GTATGAGTGTATTGCCTGCATGTATGTGAGTGCACCCATGTTATGCAATGCTGCGGAGGTCAGAAGAGGGCTTCAGATTTCCCTGGAAGTGGAGTTAAGGATGGTTCGTAGCTGCCATGTGGGTTCTGGGAATCGAACCTGGGTCCTCTGCAAGAGCAGTCTTAACCACTCTTAACCACTGAGCCATCCCTCCAGCCCCAAGGTTTTTCTTTTTTAAATTTAGGTATGTATGAATATATGCCACATTTTATGTGGGTGCCTACAGAGGTCAGAAGAAGGTATTAGATTCCCTGGAACTGGAGTTACAGGCAGTTGTGAGCCACGTGATGTCGGTACTAAGAACCGAACTTGGGTCCTTTGGGGGAATATCAAGTGCTTCTAATTGCTGAGTCATCTCTGCAGCCCCCTTATAGTGCATTTTTTGTTGTTGTTACAGTGAATTTAAAAAAAAATATTTTATTCATTCATTTATTTATTTGTTTATTTATTTAATGTGTATGTGTGTATTGCCTGCATGTAGCGCACCTGTGTTGTGCAATGCCTGTGGAGGACAGAAGAGTTCCCCTGGAACTGGAGTTATAGATAGTTGTTAGCTGCCATGTGCGTGCTGAGATTTGAACCTGGGTCTTCTGTAAGAACAGTCAGTGTTCTTAATCACTGAGCCGTCTCTCCAGCCCCTTACAGTGAATGTTTGTGGAGGCATTAATTATCTTTGTTTCATTTTGTTTTTAGAGACAGTGTCTTACTATGTAGCACTGGCTGGCCTAGACCAGACTGGACTTGCTCGCTCAGAAATCCAGTTGCCTCTGCTTCTGCCTCCCAGCTGTTAGGATTAAAGGCGTGCACTACCACACCTGGCCCAGATTTCTTAATCTGTATTGTTTACCAGATCCATTTTGATTAGCAATAGCAGTTAACGGTATGTATAGATACTTGGCCCAGAGAGCCACTTTGTGCATTGAAAAATGAGTGAAGGATGGTATCCTCCTGTTAGATATCACCTGTCCCCACTGATTGAAGACTCTCATGTTGACTCTCTCAGTATCTGAACTGTTTACTTGTGGTTTAATATATGAAGGAGGGGTGGCTGAAAGCACAGAGTGGAAGGGGAGTTTTGTTGTAAGCTATTTAGGATTGTCTGCAAACCAAGGAAGCAATGTTTTAAGTGTCAGAAAAAGAGAGTTTATTTAAAATTTCTTACACCTTGCCCATCCTTCATCCTTAAAAACAGGCTGAGCCAGAGAAGAGACCAAAGAAAGTCTCACAGATCCGTATCCGGAAAACCATTCCTAAGCAAGATCCTAACCTTACCCCAATGGGCCTGCCTCGACCCAAAAGGTGAGCTTCTCTAAAGCAAATCTGAAAATTGTTAGGCAAAGTATAATTGTCCTTAAAATGGCCATATGTGCTGAGCTGTTTATTATATTTCTAGGAATTTATCCCCCCAAATTAATTGATCTAGTAACTAAATGTTTATGTGCAAGATATTTTAATAATTCTTGATCATTTCTATTTTGCTTATTATGCTAGGTATTGTGTGTACATAATCTTAGTTTAAACTCAGGATTGGAATTACAGCTCTTGGGAGACTTGAGTCAAGGCCAGCTTTAGATTATATTGTGAATTTAAAGCCAGCCTGGGCTACTGTATGAGACCATGTCTCAAAAGAAGAGAAAAGCCAGTGTACTCTTTAAACTGGGCATTGTGGTACAATACAGATGGGAGGTAGAATCAGGAGGGTCAAAGAGAGTTCAAGGTCATCCTCAGCTACCCTGTGAATTTCAAGGCTACCTGAGACTTTTGTAAACACCCAAAATGGGCTGCAGAGGTGTCTCATCAATTAAGAGCACTCACTGCTCTTCCAAAGGAGTTTCCAAAGGAGTTTGGTTCCCAACACCTATGTTGTGTGGCCCACAACCACCTGTAACTCCAGCTGCAGGGAATCTTACCACCCTCTTCTGGTCTCTGCAGTCATCTACACTCACATACTCAAGCACACACACACACACACACACACACACACACATATATAATTTAAAAATAACTATTTTTTAAAAAATACTTTATTATTTTTATTTTATGTGTATGAGTGTTATGCCTGCGTGTAAGTAAGTGCACCTGTGTCCTGCATTGCTCACAGAAGACAGAAGAGGCTGTCGAATCCCCTGGAACTGGAGTTACGGACAGTTGTTAGCTGCCATGTGGGTACTGGGATTCGAACCTGGGTCTTCTGCAAGAATAGCCAGTGTTCTTAACTGCTGAGCCATCTCTCCAACCCAAAATAACTATTTTTTAACACCCCAGCACAAATAACCCTCCACTACTGGGAGGTGAATATTGTCATTCCCAGCTTTAGGTAAAGGCATAGGGACACAGTAGTTAAGAAACACACATTAGGGTTCTCAGTACTAGTCACAACACATGCTATTTCTGTCTGTCACATGCTTATCCAAGCCAGCTCAGAACCTACATTTTGATACTCTGAATACTAAAGCAGGAAAAGATTTAAATGTGATGAATTAATTTTTTTTAAATTTAAAGTTCTCCAAATTTGCATTTTCTTGAGGAGTTTCAGGGTATTTTTCATCAATTCCTTTAAGTAACCCAAGACAATTATTTAACCTTCCTGAGCTTTAAGAATTTAGCTGTGTGCCTTTAAGATGACTCAGCCAGTACAGAACTTGCCATGAAAGCCTAGTCAGTTGAGTTTGATCTGTGGAACCCACATAAAAATGGAAAGAAACTGTTCTTGCAGAAGACCCAAGTTTGAATCCCAGCACCCACATAGAAGCCACAAATTTGTCCTCTGACATCCATTCATGTACTATCATCATACATACACAGAATAATAATAAAATAAAATAATTTATCTGTTAAAGGTAGGTAAGAATTCCTAACACATGCCTTTAATCCCAGCACTTGGGAGACAGAGGCAGGTGGATGTCTGTGTAATCAGGGCCAACCTGGTACATAATGAGTTCCAGGCCAGCTCAGGGAGATCCTGCCTCAAAAAGGCCGAAAAAAAAAAAAAAATCCTGGGGCTGGAGAGATGGCTCAGTGGTTGGGAGCATGGACTGCTCTTGCAAGGACCTGGGTTTGATTCCCAGCACCCACATGGCAGCTAGGGACCATGCTTAACTCCAGTTCCAGGGAAATCTGACACCTTCTTCTGACCTCCGCACCACTGCACCACATGGCTGCACTCACATGCAGGCAATACAGTAATACACATAAAATAAAAATACTTTAAAAATAAAAAATCCTAACACTTAAGATTGTTGTCACCTTATTGTGGGTAAAAACAGTTTTTCGCACAGTACAAATATAATAGTTAACCATTAATTATAATTGTGATTGTCATTTAACTTCTGGATTTTGTGTGTGGGGGGAGTGTTTTTGAGACAGGGTTTCCCTATAGCCCCACCTGGCCTGGAACTCGCTATGTAGACCAGGCTGGCCTCGTACTCACAGAGATCCACCTGCCTCTGCCTCCTGAGTGCTGGAACTAAAGACTTGTGCTACCACTTCCAGCTTCTGGCCCATTTTTAAATCATTGTTTTCTGTTACTGGGTTTGGATTCTTTTTTTTTCTTTCTTGGTCTTTTTGAGACTGGGTCTTCCTTTAATCCTAGCTTATCTGGGACTTGATGTGTAGACCAGATTGAACTTGAATTTTGTTGATACAAATAAGTAGTTGGAAACAGAAAGGTTTTATTGTTTTAAGTGTTTTTTTTTTCTTATTGTTTGGTTTGTTGGGTTTTGTTATGATACAACATCTAGTTTTCTTTTTAATTAGATTTTTGTGTTAGTATACACAGAAATGTGCTTCATCAGAGCATCTTTTTACTCATGTTTTTTTTATACTTTATTGTCATTGGTTCCCCTCCTGACTGACCCTTCCCCTCCCAGCTGGTTCCCTATCCCCCAGTGAGGCCCTCCTCCCATTCTATTACTCCATGTATTCCTTTATCCATGTTGTTTTCACTGGCCATCTCATCTTCCCTTTTTAGTTTCATGATCTACACATACACATTTATGTAAACACACATAAATAATTTCAAATCAGTATTGTACATGTAAGGTAAAATGTATTTGTTGTTATAATTTTGGTTTATTTTGCATAATGAACTCTGGTTATGAATATTTCCTATAAATGCCATGATTTCATTTTTCTTACAGCTAAATAAAATTCCATTGTGTATATGCACCATATTTTCTCTATCTTGACGAACATCTAGGATGGTTCTATTTCTTAGCTTTCATGAACAGTAATCTTAGATATGCAAATATCTGTGGCATGTTGACTTAGAGTCCTTCAGGTTTATGCCTAATGCTCTTTTGTGTGTGTGTGTGTGTGTGTGTGTGTGTGTTTGAGACAGAGTCTCCCTGTAGCCCCAGCTGGCCTAGAACTCATTATGTAGACCAAGCTAACCTTGAATTCACAGAGCTCCACCTGCCTCTGCCTCCTAAGTGCTGGGACTAAAGGCATGCACCACCACGCCTGGCTAAGTGCTCTTAATCTCTGAGCCATCTCTCTATCCCCTCTTGTTTTTTGGTTTTTTTTGGGGGGGGGGGTCTTTTTGAGACAGGGTCTCCCTGTAGCCCCAGCTGGCCTGGAACTCACTATGTAGACCAGGTTGACCTTGAACTCGAAGAGATCTGCCTGCCTCTGCCTCCTGAGTGCTGGGATCAAAGGCGTGCGCCACCACGCCCAGCTTGTTGTTTTTAATGGTAGACACAGAGACAGTATATTGAGAGAGCATGCTTTTTCTGTGCATGCTCTGTGACCAGTAAGCCTTGCTGGGGAAGTGAGTGGGATTTCCAGTCTTTCTGCAAAGTGGCTTCTTTTCATTTCTTCATTTTAATGCCCCAGTCTCTGTCCTTCTCTTCTGCCTTGCTCCCATGTCTCTGTCACCTCTGGGTGATTTTTCTTTTTCTATTATTGAGCCCAGGCTCTGTCACTGGCACTCACAGGAGCATATTTTACAGCTGCCTAGGGTATCTTCTGATATGGATGTCCTGGTGGATGTGATCCATCTCTAATCTCCCCAACTTGGCTGCCACAAACACTTCCTGTTGCAATAAATAATGCCTTGCCTCCCTACCCACAACCATCATGCTCTACCTGGGTCTCAGATCTCAGAGTTTTTACCCTCCTGTGTGCCATGCTCCCATCATTGGAGGAGATGAATCTAGGCAGTTCTTCTGTGTTTTCTGTGAGTCCTTTCCTAGTTTTAGTTTTATAGTTCAAGCTGGCAAGCCCAGTGCCCCAGACAGATTTTCTAGGTTTAGTAGGACACTGGAAACTGCTTGTACCACTCAGGGGAGGTAGGAGGCAGCTAACAGAACAGCCAGGTCTGTTAATGCATGTCCCAGCCAGTATCCATGACTGCTCCAGGAATAAGCAATCGAGCTTGGGCCTGTTGACATTCAAGATGGTTGTTGGTCTCCATCTGGTGGCATCCCCCTTCTCTACATATCTCTCCTCCTTAGTCTGGAAGTAAGAGATATTTAGCTGCTATGAGCCAGGCAAAATCCCACTAGGCCTGGGTGCTAGGTTTGAGTCCATTGATGATACCAGGAATGGTAGTGAGTCATTTGTAAGAGTTTATACCAACAGACAAATGTGCATGCTGAGTGGCTATCACAGCCTTTTGGAGCTTGGGAGGGCTGGGTGGCTGCCTAAGCGGGTGGACAGAACTTTTGTTACATCTTTTTGACAAATTGTTTCTTTTATTAATATGTAGTATCCTTTATCTCTTGTGACTAATTTCAGTTAGAGGTTCACTTTCTCAGATATCAGAATAGCTGTACCAGCTTGGGTTTGGTTTTCATTTGCTTGATAGATTGTTTTTCAATCCTCTGACTGTTGGTTGGTGTCCAATGCTGAAATGTTTCCTGATAGTGTAGTGTGGGTTTTTTGGGTTTTTTTGGTCTTTTTGAGACAGGTTCTCCCTGTAGTGGGGCTAGCCTGGAGCTCACTGTGTAGACCAGACTGGCCTTGAAGTCACAGAGATCCACTTGCCTCTGCCTCCCCAGTGCAGGGATTTAAAGCCGTGTACCATCATGCCCAGCCAGGTATAGTATTTTTAAAAGATTTATTTATGTATTTGTATGTGTCTGTATGAATGTATGTGCAAGTGTGTGTGAAGGTGTATATGTTTGTGCACAGAGGCCAGAAGGTATTGAATCCCTTGGAGATAGAATTATGGGAGTTTGTGGATGCCCAGTGTGTTTTGTGGGTGTGGGAATCCAGATTTCAAGACTTGTGATTCAGAGGCAAGTGCTTTTAACCTCTGAGCCATCTTTCTAGACCCTAATCTAGTTTTCTAATCCAGT